GAAATGTCAGATTTCCATCAAAGCAAAAATGTACTTTTACTAAATGACTGTTGGTATTTATTAGGAACTTTAAATAGATATCATCAGATCTTTGTTTACACACTGAGAGCTGCATTAAAGACTCTGAAAGCTGCTGGCACTTTGACAAGCTCTGAGTCTTACTGTAAATGCGCCTGTATTATCACATTAAAACGCTATGACGAAACTGCAGCATGAGACGGACTCTGACTCTAAACTCACTGTATCTCAATGTAAAGTGTAAAATCTTGATTTGTAGCTTCACTGTTGCACGTCACATTTAACCTTCAACAGCATCTCACAACTGTATTTGAATATGTGGCCGGTCCTAATTGAATTAAACTGAACCGACGAAAATTAAATGTTGCTGAAACTTTCACTTTTCCTCCAAACTTTTCCCAGATTTATGATGTTTTTTTTTTTTTTTAACTTTCCAATGACAAAATGTGGCTAAAGACACAGATTCTGTTTGTAGCTTGTGTTTCAAGCATTTACTTACCTATTCTGTTTAACTCTGACACTTGCGTTCACTGCATCATATTTATCTTATGCAATTATATTTATTCTAATTTATGCCATGTACTTGTAAGGTGTCCTATAAATAAATCCATAAACACCTATTAATAAAATGTTGTTATAATTATTATTATTATTATTATTATTATTATTACCACTCAGTGTTTCCTCACAGGGAAAAACTGGACGAAGAAAAACAAATACAGACACACAAAAGGAATATATTTCTTTACTGAACGTTACTGCGCCGCACTCACGCAGCTTCACGAGGAGCTAAATGACGGAGAGGGCAAGTGAGAGGGAAAAATGAACTGTATGATGTTTACTACACCACGACTCAACATGTGCCGGTGAATCAATACCATGACTACAGCTGATTTTTTTTTTTTTTTCTTCATTGATTTTTAGGAAATAAAACCACGTCGCTTTGCATGAAGGGACATTCTTACAGATGAGATCAGAGCAGCTGTGTGATGTGTGTCATTATCAAAACAAGATGATCAGATGATAGAAGTTAAATGTAAAGGGTTTTTATCCAAACTGAAAGAAGAAAAAAAGGAAAAATTTCCCAATTTCTCAGTGGCTTCTTTTCCATAACAGTGTTCCTCAGCACTCGGTGACCCACGTGGAATGAATGTGATAAACAACTGATTCACGTTTCATTTAGTCTGGAGGTCCAAACAGCTTCTCAGCTGTTTTTGTTTGTGTGTTACTGTACGGAAAATTTCAGACAACTTTTTGATGCTTTCTGGAAACTGAATTTAAAACAGATTAAACAACAAAAATGGAAGAAAAAAAAAGACAAAGACAGAGAAAGAGATTTGTAATTTAATTTTAAATGTGTTTAAAGAAGCCTGAGGACGACCTGAGCACGTCCTGTGTGTCTTTATGTGTGTGTGTTTTGTGTGTTACACTACATGTAAACAAGCGTGTCTAGACAAATATGTTGAGTTAGACCGAGTGACCGCACCTCCATCAGCACTAATTCACTCTGGATGTGTCCTCTCTGTCCCTGTCCTCGCTTTGTTTGTTCATCCTTTTGTCTTTTCATCACTTTTCTTTCCATCCTGTCATTTCGACTGTATCATCACATTCACACTTTAACTCAGCAGGAACACACTCCTACACACACTTACAGTATGTTGTCATTTTCACTCTCTGTCCCAGTCTGCGTTGTGTTATGTCTGTGTACGTGTGTGTGTGTGTGGCTTCATAGGGGGAACACACACTCATGACTTCCTCTTCATCACTAATCACTCTCATCTGTTGATCTACTTGATCTCGGCTCTCGGCTGTCTGATACACAGCAGAGCGCCGTGGCCCCCTGAGACACTTTAACAGCAGAAGAGTGAGTGAGTGAGTGTGTGTGTGTGTGTGTGTGTGTGTGTGAGAGGTTGTGGTTTCATGGAATCATGCAGGACAGTAGGAGACTGAGTAGAGTTGGAAGGCATAGTTTGTGGTCTGAGCTGATGGTAAAAGAGTGTGTGACTCCGTGTGTGTGTGTGTGTGTGTTTGTGTGTGTGTGTGTGTGTGACAAAGAATGGTTTCGCGGAATCTGCTGGAGATCAGTTCAGTTGTCCGGTAAAGTTTTGTCTATTATTGGAACAAACAGAGTGTTTGCAGTTGGTATGGAGACACAAACAAACTGCTGACGAACTAAACAACAGTTCTCTCTGTTGTTGTTCAATCCTTAATGACACATTCATTATCAGCGTTAGATGACAGGATAAAAGGGGTATTCATTTATCTTTTTATTACCGTCAACAATTCCTCTAAAGAAACACATGAGGGCCTCTGATCGCCATATTCCTTTTTACATTAGCACAGTAGTGTTAAATGGAGGTGTTTCTGGTGTCGTCTTCCCGGCACAGAACCACACACTGGCAGAAAACTCTGCTGCAGTGTTGTCTCACAATAATCTACAGCTGCTGTGTTAATTGCAATGAAGGAATGTGTGATCTGGTGCAACAATAGAAATCTTTTCTAAATAGATTTTCTGTGTATTTTACTGAAAAATGGAGAAAATGGAGTCAAGTCTGTCTTAATCATCTTATAAGTCAGGTGTCCTTATCAACTTTTAGAATCGGTTTCGTTTGCTGTAATAACCCGAGTGTAAGTGATGGAAGAAATAAATACGAGGCCTCAGCAGTCTGAGTTACACAGATCGAGTAGGTGTCTTCCAAAATGACAATCTTCATCTTCCCCCGGACACCGTTTCTGTGCCGAGCCGTGGCGGAGGGACGGTGACACACAGAGGTCGTTTTTGTACAGTGAACCTTTCCTTCAGTTCTGTGGAGAAAACACGAGAGAGGACGGAGGAGGATCCCGGGTCAGGAAGTTATATATTGTGGTTATTCACAGTCTGATATGGTCAGTAGCGTCGAACCCTGTTGAGATGATGCAGCTCTTCGGTCTTGGGGCGTTTTTTCTGAGGGTGGGGTCGCATTTTTTGAAACTGGTCAAAAATAAATAAAACAAAGGGAATTTTCCGCTCGGATTCAGGGTCAAACAACCCCAACCAGAGGTGGAGACGCAGCCCTGCTAACAATTTACCTTCGCTTCATTCCATCCAAACACCTCACTGCCCTTCTTTCTTTTCCCATGTCTCTTGCCCCCTCTCTCTCTCTCTCGCTCTCTCTCCCCCTCTTCAGGGGTGTTGTACAGTATGGGGGTGTGGGACGGCGGCTCGGGAAATCCCATAAAAGTGTGTGTGTCAGCGAGATGACAGAGTGAGACAGACTCTTCATCACTGCGTCTAGGGCCGCAGTGTGTATACAAACACACACACACACACACACACACACACACACAAACAAGCACTACTATACCCCACGCCAAGGCCCGAGTCTTGACTCAACACCATAAAAACACAGCCATCCCATCATGCTTGGCGGCGGCGGCGGCGGCAGCAGCAGCGATGAGGAAGCCTGGTGTGATGACATGATGTATGACATCACTCCCACAACGCACACATAAGACGCTTTAAATTAGCAGACTGGCAGCGGGACAAGAGACGAGCGTGTGTGAGAAAAGACAGGCCGAATTCCTATGAGTGTCTTCATCCACACACACACACACACACACACACACACCTGGGGGGGGCTATAAATGATGTCTGTAATTATGTACACACACACACACACACACACACACACACAAATCACACACATAACACTGCACAGTTTAATTCCGCGAAACCAAACTCTCTCACATCGACACATGCACGCATCCGTACACACACACACACACACACACACACACAGAGCAGCCCGAGGCCTGTCTGACAGGACAGTTTAGTGGTCTCATTAGCAGCGGGTGGAATGCCAACAGATAATTAACCAGGAGAGATGAAGAGAGGGAGGGAGGGCGAGTGCCAGCAGTAAAACACATAAGAAAGAGAGAGAGAGAGAAAGAGAGAGAGATGTTCTTTATGAGATGGATAAAGTGAAAAGATGGCCAGACACCTGAGGGGAGGGAAGCCGACTTTGTGGTTTTTTTGGGGGGTTTTTCTTTTGCTTGAACCAGCAGAAAAGACAATCCGACACTTTCACTGACGGTTTCTGTTGGTTTTGGTCTTTTCATGAGGTTTGTTGACGACAAGAAAAACACAGAACGCTAAAGTCGCCTGTGAATGACCTGCAGTTACCCGGACGGCTCGATGCCACCGTGTTCCTCCAGGGAACGTCGTCCGGCATCACCACCACCCCTGCACACAAGACACTCTCAGTCGGCACTGAAGCTTTAGGGATGTCTGTCACTCGTAAGTCGATTTGGATAAAAAGCATCTGCTGAATGACTAAATATAATACGGCTGAACATCAATAGCTGCCGATACGTGACACAGAACACCCAGGCAAGACTCTCTGTCTGGTTTACCTGGACTAAATGTTTCCCGATTTAACGTAAAATAGTTAAAATAGTTCCTCATGTCGACAGCAACATCTCCTTCCACATATAGTGTACACGTTACCTTGGTTACGTCACTCTGAGCAGTTTTTGGTTGAACGACTTTGGGCCAATGCTCGAGCTAACTGAGAGAAAAGAAAAACTACATTTCCTAACATGGGACCCTTTAAAGTTGTGTTTATGCAAATTTTTCTTCTGCAGCTGTTCGTGTTAAGAACAAGTATTGTTTTGGTATCGCTACTGAAACTCAGGTAACGTATTGTTATCGTCACCGAAAACCCTTTAAATGACTCCAAGCTTTAATAAGTAAGGAAGGTGATATTTTCAATTTCATTTTCACCTTCACCTTGCTGGAAAGTGAAGGTGACTGAGGCTGAGCTGACGGCACGTACACATTTCAACTGAGAAATACAGTAAATAAATGAATTGATATTGCAGTGAAGTGAAAATGAGCCACAAATAGCTCTTGAAATGCAAACGTCTACACACAGTTTGTGTCATTTTTGCCCTCACGATCAATAACTAGATTCTTTGACAATGAATTATTTCAATCAGCTCACTTTTATTTAAGTCACTCTGGATAACAGTGTCAGCCGAATGCTTTAAGAGTCATTTTATTTCAGTATGAACAGATGCGTAAAAAAACAAAACAAAACTAGAAAAACAAAGAAGAAGAAGACAAGACGCAAACTTTGATTAAAAAATTAATTATGGTCCAGCCAAGTAATCTGATGTGGGCAGCCCTCAACCAAAGCCAAAAGTTAGCGCTCTGTCAAAAGTCACATCAGCTTGTTTCCCGTTTTGTTTCTGACACAGAAAGAATAGACAGGACGTGTCAGCCTGCAGACTTCATGCTAAACGCTCCTGATGTCTCTCCATCTAAGCTGAAATCAAACAAAACCAGATGCTCATTTAAGTTTGGCAGCAGACAAAGAGGCCGGAGCCAAATGTGACAAAAACAGACAGTAAAACAATTTAACTGTGTTGTATTGATGGAGAGAAATCAACACCTGCTATTGGAAACACGTGTGAAGTTATTTCCCACGACCCCTTGCACAAAAATGCTCTGCCTCATAAATAGCTCGATGTTGCTCAAATATAACCCCGTGAATAAACTCATATCTCCATGTTGTCCTCTGCAGAGACGGTAAAACGACAAAACAATGTTTAAAAACAGACGAGTGCAGCCTCGCTTCCAGCTCGAAACACCGGGTCGGTTTCACTTCATCCATTTGGTTTTGATAGCTGCAGAACCCCGTTAAGTCCCGAGGACCATGTGTCCATCCAGATTATTTAAACTATGAAATGAAGACGTTGTAAAAATGCTGTTAAAGCTGTAAGTTAATGCTAATTCAGGGGCAGTGCCAGTTTGTCTCAGTGATGATGCTATTAGTCCAAACCAGCTCCTGTGTGTGTGTGTGTGCTGGGATCACTGGAGTCAGATCAGATGTCATCGGTCACCGTCCTTTTCTTACTCAAGCTCACCAAAAAAAAAAAAAAAAGTTCATCCGAGCAAAACTAAGCAACAGAAAAAGTCGCCTGGTAAACATTTCTCCAGGCTCCGATGTAAACTCAAGAGTGGATGATGATGATGATGACGACGATGATGATGATGATGAGGCTGGTGATGATAATAAAAATGCATAACCGTAGTAACTAAGGCAGCTTCAGCAGGACTCGATGCACCGCTCTCCCCCAAACCCCAAACAAAACGTGTCTCTCCCTGTCGACAGGACAGTCTTTATCTTGGATGAGCTGGGGAGAAAGGATGAATACCAGGATGGAGAAAACGAGGGGACCATCCTCTTCTCCTCCCGTGGAGATGTTTTCGTCGGCGGAGGAAAAGAGACGGCGGAGTAGAAAAATTAGAGGTCCTCTGCTCATTCAACCATCTCTTCACCTAAAGAAATCTTCTCTTCTTGTGGGAGCTGAGGAGGAAGAGAAGATCTTTTCGTCCTAAAAACAAGTTTTCCCAGGAGGAAAAGAGGAGCAGTAGTGGAAGTAGGAGTAGAAATCTAAGTAAACAAGATGGAAAAGGAGGTTTGTGAAATACCTCCTTCACATCCTTTCTTCATCTTTTATCTCCCTCTCAGCGAAGAGTCTGTTAGTTCTGAGTTTCCACCGTCAAGAGCTACCGTTTCCTGGGACATCTGACAGCCGGCTGGTGGCTCAGCTGCGGTCGGTCGGTCGGTCGTCACGGTGATGGTGATGGTCGGGTGGGCGCGACCTCAGTCGGTGGGGGTGGGGATGATGCAGATGTGCAGGAAGTTGTCGGGGTGGCTGAGGTGCTCGCTGAGCCACTGCAGAGGAGTCTCCAGCAGCGGCTCGATGCCGTGGATCATCACCTGGTAACGCTTCTGCTCACCTGCATGGAGAGAGAGAGAATAACGATGTTATATCAATAATGATTAATTAGTTAGTAGGTAGGAAGTTTTTTAATCAGTTCTTTATTTATTTATATTAGAAGAAGTGGAAAAAAGGAAGAAAGTGAGGAAGAAGATAGATTGAGGAGAAAAAAAAATCAATGAAAGACCACAGAGAGGGAAAAGAAGGGAGGGAGAGAGTGATATGACGGAGGACAAAAGAGAAAGAGAATAAGAAAAAAGAAAAGAGAAGAGGTAGAGAAGAGGACAGAGATGAAAAGGAGGGAGGAAGAGAAAATTCAGACTGGTAAACGAAAGGTAAAGAGAAGAGGAGGAAATGAGTAAGCTCATAAAAAGCAGCAGAGAGAAATAAAAGAAGAAAAAGAAGAGAAAGCATGAAAAGAGGAAAATAAGTGAAGGAGGAAAAAAAAAAAAGAGTGAAGGACACAAAGTCAGAAAAAGAAGAAAGAGAAGTTTAAAAAAAGACAAAGACTGAAGGAACAATGTTGGAGAGAGAAGAGATGGTAGCATGAGGTGAGGCAGACCACATCAGAGACTACAGTAATACCACGGGTGTGGAGGGTGAGGGTGAGAGAGAGAGAGAGAGAGAGAGAAAGTATGAGTGTAAAAGTGTGTGTGTGTGTGTGTGTGTGTGTGTGTGTAGTTATGAAGCAGAGTGAAGTGACAGTTGATTACTGTAGCGTTTGACGTTGAGAGGGTTCAAATTGTAAACTTTCGCTCTGACAGGTCATAGTTTCAGACGTGTGTGTGTGTGTGTGTGTGTGTGTGTGTGTGTGTGTGTGTGTGTCCGGCCCAATAGCCTCCTGTGATTGAGCCCGCCCTCTGCTGAAAAGCCACGACCGCAGATCATCCGTTGCGAGCAGCGGCGCTCTCAAAAAAAAACAAAAAAAAAACTCTCGGCCTGTCGTTGTGTGATTTCCGAGCAGATTTTCTGATAATGTTTTATTGACGGTTACAGAGACTGAACGTTTGAACTACACTGGCTGCACTGAGGGGCCTTGCTTTAATGTTTTCAAAGGTGCACGCTGCCAGTTTCTCACACGAGAATCATTTTACTGATCACGAGGCGTGGGACGACTTCTCTAATGTCTCTGGAGCTTCGTCAAGTCTGAGCAAAATTACAGAAATTAGCATAAAACCCGTGTTACAAACAGGGTCACACCCGGTCAGGCTGAGATGAGTCAAATCAAAGACACCACTAGGTTTCATTATGGGAAATGTAGGATCCATCATTTTGGAGCTTGACTCCTAAAGACCAGCACTCAGGACATCGCAGCCTCTTCCTCACTTTCAGTCATCGTGGGACTTTTGTAGCTTCTCTCTCACCTTTGTTTCCTGTCATCTCTCCACGACTGCTCTCTAATAAAAATCAACATTTAAAAGTAAAAACTAAATACAAGCGTTGGCCTGTTAAGGGATGATTAATCTTGCATGACAAACAAAACTACAGGAAACCAAAAAAAAAAAGGTTTAAAAACATTAAAAAAAAAAAAAGAAAAGAAAAATGCTTTTTGAAGACCAAGGCTTTGACTTTAGAGAATGAACTTCACACATTTTAAGACTTTTCAGGGCTTGGAGACACCATGGTATTTGTTACACATATTTTCAAATGTATTATTTCAACATATTTATTTAAAGAGTTGGTTATATATTGTTGGTTATATATATATTGTTATTTAGAGCTCCCCACACGCTCTTTAAAGTCAATTACAGAAGTATCTCATGCTTAAAAATTCATTTTCTATTACTGAGCTTTAGATCACTTGACTATTTAAGTCTTGTAGTTTTAAATTGTACAAAAATATGTATAAATGTATAAATCCATCTATTGTGCCAATTTAGTCTGGATTAATTCAGTCATTTTTTTGTTTATTGTATTGCTTTGTAATAAATGTGCAGATGAGTTCAGGTGGTTGAACATGAGTCTGATGCACGTCGGTCTTTTCAAACAAAACTCCAGTGACGTTGTCTGTTTACATTTTGACTCTGGTTTCACTAGAAACTAAGTCAAATCTTAGAAAACGCTCACCTGTTTAAAGATAAAAAAGGAATTTAATCTCACCTCTCAACTGATTCATGTTTCAGTATAAATATTTTTGCAGTTTTGCAGCGAACAGACCGGAAGGTGACACATGTTTTGATCAGCTGTAAAACAGAAACTGCGTTTAACGAGTGTATTAATGTGAAAACAGTTAATGCAGCTGTTTCTCAGACACCAACATCAGAGTTTATGCTTTTAGTTTATATTCAAGTTTAAAAATAATTATTTAAAAATAGAAAATATATGTGTTAAATACTTTAATTTGTATAAATACAATTCAAGTTTTAAGGTATTAATGGCAACTTTCTCAAACTACCAGGATGTGTGCATGTGCGTGAGAAAGGCAGACAGTGACGGGCCTTTTCCTGTCTATCACCCTTGACCTCACAAACACACACACACATACACACACTCGCACACACACACACACACACACACACAGGTTAACCCTAACTCACCCACCTTGTCGATGACATTCTGGTTCCACGTAATATCAGGAGGACGGTTGAGGCAGAGCGTTAACTGTCGGTCTGAGAAGTGGCGCCGCCCTACACCTGCTGAGTGGCTGGCAAACAGCAACATGCACGAAACTAATGTCAGGAAAGCGGTGCAAGAAATGTGCTCGACAAAAGCCGTATGAAAATTTACAGATGTGCACATCTAGGCCAGAGGTGGGTGGAGGAGGTTCAGGGCGGATGGGCTGCCTCTGCTGGTGGATGCAGGAATAAAAATGTAATAAGTATTGCTAATATACTGACTATAATTGTTTTTTTAAACTACATTTTGGGAAGTATTGGCTACAGCAGAGTAATAATCCTCAGAGAGTGACTGCTAGATTAAAAAACCAGACAGAATCTGTGATATTTTAACTGCTAAATTGATATTTTTATTTACAGGGACTGAGACGGATCACAGATGAGGCAGGATTAGTCTCTGCAGGACACTTAAAAAGGAAAAAGTTCATATTACACCTGCTCGTTTAACTGAGGATTGATTAATGCAGGAAGGCTGCTGAATGCAGGACGTAGAATTACAAGCAGAAGGTTAAGAGACTGATTTCTGCTGCTGAATTTAAAAAATAAATGATAATTGTTTGGTTTTAGCTGCTCAGGACAATTTCTAGGTCACAAGAGCAAAGTAGAAGCCATGCAGGTGAAGGGAGGAGAAAACCCAATTCTTTCAAAAACTGAAAATATTCTGGATTTGTAACATAATAAATGTAATGGAAATTTAGCGACAATGTAATTCTATTTATGTATTTATTTATTTCTTGTTCATGCAGTGCCTGGAACGGGTGATTAACCTTTCTTGGTTGTTGGTGGATTGAAAAAAGAACAAAATTCTAACAATTTAACCTTCCAAATGTTTTTGCTAAATTTAGAAACAACCTAAAAATGAAGCGGTAAAAAGTTTTAATGTGTCAACTTATTTGCATCATTGTCTTACTGCACTAAAACCACTGAGCCACAAGCGCGAAAAAAAAAAAAAAAAGAAAGAAAAAAAAGAGGAACCAGCTAAACTTTAGGCGGTAGCGACATGATTTCCTCTCAACTACAGCGGAGGTGAGGAGCAGCTGAAGACTGACTAATTGTAAGAAGAGCAGGAGTATTACCGTACATGTAACCTGACAAAAGGAAATGATTTAATAAAGTGCTAAAATGAATGAGAGGGCATTTGAATACAGCGATGAACTCTTTTTTTTCTCTCTCTCTCTCTCCCTGTCTTTTTTTTCTTTCTTTCTTTCTCATTTTTGTATAATTTAATTTTTTATTTTATGTCGAGATGAGGTTTAACAAAAGATCTAGATGGGTTTCTTACCTCACCTGTACATTTTCTCCATAAAAAAAAAAACTATATAAAACATATTTGTAATGTTTTATGCGTGCAAATAATAAATAAATAAATAAATAAATAAATAAATAAGTGAGTGAGTGAGTGAATAAATAAATGAATGAATGAATGAATGAATAAACAAATAAATGAATAAATAAAAACTGCAGAAATTATTAATTTTATTGTTTCTTTTTTTAATTTGTGGATTATTTAGGTATTAATTTATTTTTGGTATTTCAACCATTTTTTTGTATTTAAATTCTTTTGGTATTTATTTTCTAGTATGTAAAAAACTAAAAAAATATCCAAGACCAATTGAATCATAAAAATAACACAAACAATGCCATTTAACAGGTTTTTTCGTTTTTAAAATCTCACTGAAGGACAATCTGCAGTTGTTCTCTCCACCAGAGGAACTTGTTTTCTTTTAACTGTGCTTTGCAGTTTTATTTTTCCTGGAAAAAACATTTTGATCCATTACAATGGGTTTTAAAAGTTGGTTTCAGGTTTAAAAGAAGGTTTTAAAAGAAAATGTGTAAACTGATATGCCTCATTAAAAATAACCATCCTGGAAAATCTGGTAAAAGCTGAAAATAATTAGCAATAATCCGCTTTATTTATCTACAACTACAATTTATTTTATCAGTTACTCTTTGTGCTTTTATTGGGTTTTTTTTTTTTTTTAATAGTTTTTTGCTTATTTAATTTATTACTGTGAAACTGCTTTAAAACGTTTAAGAGATGATAAATTCAAATGAGCTGATTAACACTGAGGTGATCTGATTGAAATCTTTACAAAATCTTCAGTTCAGTTCAGAAGCACAGAAAGTAAAAGGTGTGATCCTGCCTATATAACAGCAATAGTGAGAATACACTTTCTCTGGTTCTCACACACACACACAACACACTCACACACACACACACACACACACACACACACACACACACACACACACACACACACACAGTCCATTTCTGGGTGGTGTTTCATACCCATCACTAACCTTTAGCCTCTGTCTTGCCTGGCAACAGCGAGGCAGAGGTGGGCGGAGAAGGCGTGTTGTCACAATCTCACTATGAGAAATGGGGGAAATTCGCAATGGGCTA